TCTAAATCGACTTCATGGTTCTAAAGTGTTCTCGAAAGTTGACCTAAAAGATGCTTATTTTCAGATCCCTTTAGATCAACCCTCATATATTTTGACGACAATTGACACTCCTTTTGGTCTGTTTAAATACAATTTCCTTCCGTTTGGTCTAAGTTGTTCTCCAGCCATATTTCAGGAAGTTATGAATAAGGTGGTTAATGATCTTGAAGGTGTTGAAGTTTATCAATATGATCTGATTGTTCATGGTACTGATAAAGTAGTTCATGACGAGAGACTTATTGCCTTATTGCGTCGTTTAATTGAGAAGAATATTACAGTAAATCCAAATAAGTGTTCATTTTGTGTGTCTAGTTTTGAATGTCTTGGATACCTAGTTGATGGTAATGGTTTTAGACCAGACTAGCTCCACTGACAAATGCACCATCTCCAAAAATCTTACGGAACTACGTTCACTAGTGGGTGCTCTTCAATACTATTCTCGTTTTATTCCTAATTTTTCTTGTCGTGCAAATTGTTTATTTAATATTTTGACATCCAACTCATTCAAGAGTCATGCTTGCGTTGTCTACTAAAGTTTCCTCAAAGTGATGCTGTTCTTCGAACGTTCTACTCTAGTGTACAGTCTCTGCTTATCACTGATGCATCGCCTGTGGGTATTGGCGCAGTTTTGGAACAGGAAGGTAGACCAGTTATTTGTGTTTTGTATGTTGGTGGCCAGAAATAAATGCAGATATTTATCTTACAGCAAATAATTGCGAAAATTGTCATAAGCTGAAAAATCAGCATTCGAAGTGGACTCCATGGCCAGTAACGTCTGAGGCCTGGCAGAGAATTCATGCAGACTACTGTCCAGGAGAGTCTGTTGGGTGAGTCTGTTCCTATTTCCGTTGTTAATTCAAATACTAATGACTGCATTCTAGATGATACAGAGACTTCATTCAATACACTGTCGGACAGACACAGGATGAACTTGAGAAGAAGACGTGAAATTGATTACAGACACTTGGATTCCAAATTAAGCTGTGACGGTTGTGGTGTTTGAATGAACTAGTGACGTTTGGTTGTTGAAGAATGCCTGATTTCGAATTCTAAATACAGTACATTCTTTCGTGCTTATCTAGTAGCTGTTGATCCACTTACGTTATTTCTAGGATTATTAGTTCATGCTATAATTCAAATTCTTCTAAATATCATAATTCACCCTCGTATAAATAGTCGGTTAGTGATTGCATCATTAGTGGAATCAAATATCCGTTTAAAATCAGAAACCTGGTAAACGTTTGCATTGTAATGAGTATTGGTCACATGATCGTGATAGTTTATGATACGAGTTGGAAGTCAGTCAAATATTGATTACTGAGATGCATGGTTCTCAGTACAGATCACTGACTGAATACTGGACCATATTCGATTCGTCGTCAATCTAAGCATACATCGCAATCGTGGTTACTTCGCGATTCAAGGATCCTGATGAGATAACCGTTACTGAATCTTTCAATAATTCACCAACACACATTGCTACAATGTAGTAGTACCTACAAGACCATCGGGTTCAATGTTTTGATCTAAGTAAAATCCTATGTTCATCAGAACTCAGTGAATAATTCAACTTAAAGATTCTGATATCCATTAGAATTGTCCATCTCATTTCATATAAATATGGTGTGTAGGAGGAGTTGGAGAAACTTGCTGGTATACAGGATATCATATTGTAGTTAGTGAATATTAACTTGTTTGCAATGGAAATAGGAAACTAAAAATTCACTCAATGTAGATGTGCTAACAAAGATGAAATATTGAAGTTGAAATGAACTGAATTCTGTTATCTACACGTTACTGCCATTTCAATTGATCGAGTTACGCAAACAGATAATCAATTTAAATAAGTAATTCCATTGCCACGAAATTCCCTTTTCAGTAAATTTCACGGTCAACTAAACTATCATTTGGTATAAACACATGGTATAAAAAAGAATGGACAGCACAGACCATGCGCAGAGAGCACATCACTCAATAAACAAACTCTAGCAAAGTAAGCATAATGTGTGTTATATCTACAGGCCGACCACAACCATTTATTCGAAGCTGTTTAGACGAAACGTTTCCAAAACTATACATAACATTCTGGAATTATGGCCATGGTAAACCTAATCAGCGAGAGATTCGTATGGACAAATATGAACCGGAATATTTGTAGCTAGACGCAGCCTTGTATATTATGTCAGAAAGTTAAAGGTCATCGTCACACAAAATCCACAGAAGGTATTTACTGTAACCCCGGGTCCGTAACCATCATACACATATCAATATAGTTGGACCACTGCCAATTTCAAATGATTCCAGTCATATCTTTACCTGTACTGACAGATTCAGGCGATGACTTGCAGCAGTACCATAAAAGATATTCCAGCAGAAACTAGCTAAAACCTTAGTCAAACTGTGGATCTCATATTATGGGATGCCTGAGAATATTACAATTGATAGAGGAACTCAATTCGAATGTCGAATCTTCCAACAACTCACAGAACTTCTCGGAATCAAACGTATTCGCACAACAGCCCACCATCCAATGACTAATGGTATGGTGGGAAGACACTGGGCCAACAAGCTTCCTTTAGTCATATTGAGTTTGAAGTCGACAATGAAAAGAGAAATAGGATGTTGTCCTGCAGAGTTAGTTTACGGAACTACCATACGTCCACCAGGAGAGTTGTCCACCTCAGGTAAGTGTGTTCCGACTGATGTAGTTGACCACGTACACCATCTAAACGGGCACATGAGAATAACGCTTCCGAATGAAAATCAACATCAGGTATATATTCCGAAGCAACTGAACGATAGTATCACTGTTTTTATCAGGAGGGATAATGTCCGACGTCCAATACAAGTGACCTACAATGGTCCGTTTAAAGTAATCAGAAGAAACGACAAAACTATCACGGTAGACAAAGTTGGAAAACGGATGTAATTGGCATCGACCGAGTCATACAAGCTTCTATCGAGAGTAACGAACAAATACTTCGAAAATTATCGAATCACCGGAACGTCAGTTCAAAACATCAGCGACGAAAAATCAGCTAGCCGCAAAGATATATAGCTCAGATTTTGAATTCATCATTTATTTCGCCATTTCAAATGTAAAATTTTTTCCTCGACCCATATATGCATGTCGACAATTTATAACCTATCTATTATTAAATTCGATACATTTTGCTTCTTCCGATGTTAGGATGTTACAACCTGAAAACATGGTTGTAATCTTTTTGCCTTCTGTTATGAACATTTTGTTTGCTTTCGGCTCTTTAGATTGATGAGACAACTAATCAGTAACACTGAGGTTGCTCTTATACGCTTGCTACTTCTGTGGTTCATGTTTCCAAAACTGTGCTGAGGTCGCTATTCTGTCGAGACACCCGCAACATTCCTACTCAGGCGCTTACACTATGACTTAGAGGTTGACATTCAATAATAAAAAAAAACAGTTAGACAGTGCGAGATTTTGTTCATCAAAGTTTTATTTTTACAAACTCTACTCTTTCAACCAGAATTTCGATTTCAAAGTACATAAATCCAGCTTCTTACTTCGACTTCTTTTCTATTCACCTGACACTGCACAACTCTTCCTTCTTTTCTCTGTACTCCTTTATCTGTGTGTTATATTCTTATATTCCCATAATTTACTTTAATTTAAGTGGTCAGTATGAATTTTATCTTGACTTACTACTGTATTGACTACTTCAACATGACAGGTTAAGTAGTGCTTTGGTTATATATATACACCTGCCACACTGCTGTCTTTTTCTCTCTCTCTTCTCCTTTTCAGAACCCCATTCACGGTGGGAAATCCTTGACGACTCTAGGGAACATGCACCCTATGTACATGACTGTCTGGATCACAGCTCGTATCAAGCGCGTTCCATTTGACCTTTCCCAACAAATTCACTATTGAACTCGGCAAATCGCCAAAAGAACCTATTGTGCAACTTCCTTCCTTATTTGTACTCTACTATTGAAAATGAGGCTGTATAATACTGTTTCTGTCAGTGACATGGTGTAAATATGCAATCAGAAACTGACTCTTATACTTAATTTAACTGCTATAACTTTACAGCAATTGTGAAAGCATTTGTGACAATTTGATCTAGCCTGTAAACTGGCGTGACACTTGTAACGTAGTAATTTGAGAATAAATTTATTAATATTATTGATATTATTATGCAACCTCACAAACGTACACGAACAACATAAATTTATCTTTCGTAAATTTTAATATTTTCGGGTAGTAATTTTACTCTCGCAAACACAGACACTTTTCTTTGTTTCATGAAAAGGTGCTATTGTAGAACCGGCACATACATTTGAGTGTGTTGAAAATTAATTTGGTCAATGCTTTTGCTTACCTTATTTAACAGAGTCTCTTTATATCAATAAATCATTAGTTTTGATTATTGTCGTATTTGCATGAGTGGTGCTGCACTTTGGCACTGACACATTGATTTTCTCAAGGTGTGCTTGTGGTTTGGTGGTCTATTTGTGGTGCGCCTACTAAACGTATTCAAAACCTCGTATTCGTCTTTTGATTTATGAGACGTGAAGCGTTATTTAGACACGGTTGTCTGGACGAGCAGCATGAAAAGTCAAAGAATATATCGAATGCGTATCGCCAAAAAATTAGTGAGGCCCCGGCGACCAAGAAAGCTGTAAAGCATTCTTACGAAGATGGAAGGTTAAAGTTGAAATGCGCTGAATTCTGTCATCTACACGTTACTCACATTTCAATTGATCGAGTCAAGTAAACAGATAATCAATTTTAAAGAATGATTTATTCAACACAAAAATCACTATTCAGAAACCGAATTCAATCGACTTCGGAATAGTGTAAAGACAATCGGATACAGATTTTGATAATCATCTCTCATATTATGAATTCGAAAAACACAACATAGTTTGAATAGTATATAACTGTTATAAATTATGAGTAAAAGGCAATTAGATGCTGATCAGTGAGCATTACCAATCCGACGTCTACGATTATTTGAATACCTTTTCTTAGAGACTTTTTTAGAATACCGCAGAGACTTTCGACGGCGAATTGGAGCTTTTTCTTTAGTATGTGATGGCTTGTTATGGTGCTGATCAAAGCTTTGTACTCCAGAACATAAATCACGCGATTTCACTTCATACGGTTTTTGTCTATTCCAGTTACCGCTAAAATAATGAACACAAACGAAGTCCAATTAGAACAAGCTTAGAGAGTACAATCGAGAGACTGAAAGCAAACATCACTTCTTAAGTTACATACGTCCACTTACCCTGGACCATAGTTACACACGATAAACGTATTTCTGTGTTGTGAACAGTATGCAACCCCACATCCAATGTCCGTGGTATTGGCCCAAACCATCTGAAATGCAATATCAACAACGAAACAATAAGATCGGATGACCGATTAAAAAGCATTTCTATTGTGTTTCAATGAAAAGTGTACATTTAGATTATTTGTGCTAGTGCAAACGACTTTTTCGAATTACAGAGATGCAGGTGGAAATTTCAGTGTGTTTTGAATGAGTATCTTTACACGCGGTATAATGTTGATGTCTAGTGGAATTCGGTAGAACACTAACTCATTCTGTTTCACGCCAACATTTCAAAGTGTCCTCACGATCAAACGTCCTTTAGCATTTCACAGAACATTACAATGCAATTCGCCCTGTATTTGCAATGAATTTCTGCCACGTTTCTCTCAACATTCTTTTTGTAAATAATGATGACAGTTCCATTGAGATTCAAATTAACTCGTCAGCAATAATGCACAGTGATCAGAGAGTAGTTTGTTGTTTGTTGTTTTCGACCGAGTGATCCGTCCTCTCGACGAAACACACATATTCATGCCCCCATCGTTGTAATTCATTGTGTATGTGTCAGTCTAACTTTCCATTACCATTATCTGGGACATTCAAACCACTCCAAATACATGATAATAATGATAGCTCAATCTTACTTGTAGCATATGTGAATGGATGGTATAGTGAACGCAAACAGCACTCAAATGATCATCTTCGAATGGATAAGAATGAACTTACTTGTGTGTAATGCAAACATGCTTGACAGTTCCCGACATAGTAATTGTACATCTTATGCTCATTGAACCACGCATCGACACCTCTGAATCAAAAATCGATGTAATGTGTACAAAGTCACTTACGACTTGATGGTCGGATGAAGAGCTATATTCTGTCCAACCCAAAAGAAACTCTTTGTTTTAAGTAACACATGACCGTATCTGCAGCTGTCCGCCAATCGTTGTGCATGTTGAGCCAGTTCATGATTCCAGGTCTATAAATAAAATTTGCACCCAAACATTCAACAGATAGCAGAATACTGACGTACCAATTGTGACATATATTTAGCTGGTGGTTGTCCGTCAACTTTACAATCGACCACGTCCTGTCTGTATTTTCGATGTAGTTGGAGAAGCTCTGTTTGTTGCGCATTCAAGCGACTGTCTGCATAAATGGTTTGAATGCAAACCAATATATACGATAATATGAATGTAAGGAATACACGTTTGCAATACATATTCAGTGAGAATTAATTCCGACTGCGTATTTGGCCAACATTTATATACATTTCTGTTAGTGAATTTGATTGAAAGTTGTACAGTCAGAGATTTCTGAATAATAATAATAATAATAATAATAATAATAATAATAATAATAATGATTAACAGATAGTCTAATTGTGAAAATATTTATCAGATATATTCTCATCTTATTCAGTAATTAACCAACCCAACGTCAGTCACTCACACTATATCAACTTGAGTTCTCTTGTTGTCGATCTCTACGCATACATATTAAATGAGTTGTGTGAACCTACACAGAATAACTGTGCATTCATTCTAATCACAGTCCGATCTATCATCCTGTGAGTCGTTTCATATCACCGATTACTGACATTTGTCATGTTGAACAATGAGTGGATCACATTGCTTATGAATTAATTTCACACAATTTCATCACTGTTGCGTTAATTGCAGTTGAACTCGGTTTCCATCATGGTGTCTATTCACATGATTTCTCTGGTTTATTATTAGCACAAATTGACACGACAATTCCCTCATCATTATGCAATTTGGTTGAGGTGATCGTGTCAGTCATTCTACTGTTCTTTTAATGATACTAGAATTTTGAGTATGTGAATTTGACCGTCTTCACTCATCCTATAATATGTGTCATTTTTTGATGTTCTCGTGTTTGAACTTTGTGTGACGTCCTTATATTTGCGTGCTCGTGAACATGTAGCCGATTTGTGACAATGAATAATGACAAAGTCTATCAACAGTGCATAATTTATTGATTTGCTAAATGTCTATCACTGCATTCAGCTGAACGTATCGTTCTGGGCATTAAACCACAAGCACAATATCAGTTCCGTGATGCGAGATATATGTTATTTTTCATTGTTTTTGACTTAGCAGCTCATACGATTCATTTCGCTTTGACATGTGTTAATGAACACGTGTCTTTGGTGGAGGAGCTGATTCAGTTTACAATTCTCTAGCTTCACGTCTGCATCCGACCCACCTTGCTTTTCGATGATGCTACTCAGATATGTCCAGCTGCATCCTATTCCTTCATTGTATCCCGCCATTACTTCGCGATGTCGATGATCAAATAACTCAGTTGATCACAAGTAGAAAAAGAAAGAGTGAGATCAAGTGTTGAGGGCATTAGATCCCCAGAACTAACTAGGAAAATGTACTAATTTTGTAGTTTCCTTCAAAAATTGTGAATCTTTTATGTTTTCGCACATTGGACGCTTAGCTGACATTCGGCTTATATTTCCCACTCGGTAAATGATTGACTATCATTGGTTGATGTATTATTTTTGTACGCCATTTTGTGGCTGTCCAAAAGACATTTCTATCTTGAATAAATAAGCTCGATTTGCGTGCTTGCCGACCTCGTATTTTCTAGGTGTTTGTAGAAAACACCTTCGACGCCTTTTCATGAATTCTTGCTCTAGTTAGCAGAGCCTGGGACAATCGGATTAGAGTAGCCTATCGAGTCACTGCATCACTGATCTTCGTTCCGTTTACCGAGTAATGTGAAATCGTAATAGCGTCGAATCATATCAGTTGGCGATGGAGGTTTTTTGAAACATGGGTCCTTCTAAATTTGAATTATTACTTGAAGTGCAGTCGAAATTGCTTCAGAACTTGATAGATATCAAGACGTTGATTTCTTAACAGCTTAGTTCTTCTTAAGAAATCACAACACTATCATTAGACGGCATCACGAATAGTATCGCAAAGTTTCATTTTGATCCTGTTGCCATCGTTAATTGTCACATGTGGTTCCGGCGTAATGGAGACCGATTTAAATTTGATTATGTTAATCTAGATGGTGCTTTCAAAGTTCGGCTGCTACTTCGAAAATTGGGTGCAAGTGAGCTGGACAGTTACTGTAATTTTATCCTGCCTTTGAACCCACGTGATTGTTCATTCTCAGGCACCGTCCAGTCATTAGGCATAAATTTTCGTGATAACGCGTCATTATTCAACACTCGTTATCGATGTTGGAAGCTAGTTATGAACGAAGGCGATAACTTTCTTACGCATGTGAGCAGCCATCAGTCATCCATCAGTGCAAACGTTTCCGGTTGAAGTGTTTGTCTGAAGACCAGTTTAAATCCCTCATCCTCACTTGTAGCCACTAGTCCCAAAAGTTATAGTGACGTAGGAACACGGCTACTGTTCCGAATGAATCAAGATCCTAAACTCTCCTTTAGTGACTTGGTCAGTGAGTATCAATGTCTCATCAATCTGCAACGCAAAATGTCGCTGATTCAGAGTGGTGGGTCTGGTCGATCTAAATAGCATGCAGTACAACAGACACCTAACCAGAGTGAATGTGCCCCTGCTACACCCCGTCCATCACACTGCAGCTCAGTGTGACACACGAAGATGAATCCTCTTGTTCCTTGCTGGCACTGTGGTGTATAATACTATGTGCGAAGCTACCCATTTAAGCAACGTCAATGCAGAAAGTGTAAGGTCGTTGGTCATAAAGATGGTTTGTGTTTTACGAGAAAGCGAAACCGATCCAGTGTTACCAAGGAGACTGTTTCTAAATCCGATACCAATTCTTCAAGCCTAATATCTTCCTGTCAATATCATCACCAGGTGGGGGGGAATTCATTAATCTCAATACTAACGGGTATCCGTTTAGATTGAAAATAGATACGGCATCTGATGTCACAGTTATCTCACATAAAATTCGTATCAAACTGTGCAACCTAAGCAATCAGCGGACAGTACAAATGCCTTGTACTGCATGCTCTAATTACCTTCGACTGACACGACAAATGGAATGTCAAGTTGTCATCCGAGACTCATTATTTTCTGGGGCGTGTTATATAACGCCATGTACTCCAATTTTACTTGTTTTAGATTAGCTGATGCCCCGTTGAATACCATATGCCTTCTAGTATCACAACCACATGACTCTGGAGCATATACGAGGAAGCTGATGACACAGTTTTCAACCATTTTCCATCATGGATTATGTCGTTGCACTGCCATGATATGATCACTTCGGTTGAAATCTGAAGCTAAGCTTGTTTTCCGTCCAAATAGTGTCGTACTTTGTGCAACATTAACAACAGTAGATGAAGAGTTGGATCGCCTTCAACGACAAGGAGTTGTTACTTTTGTTTCTTGTTCTGCCTGGACAGCACCTATAATTGTTATTAAGAAGGCCAACGGCACGATGCATATATTTGCTGGCTTTTCTACAGGTCTAATGCAGTTCTGGAACAGCAGAATTATCTCCCGCCAGTTTCCGCAGATTTGTTTACTATGCTGAATGGGGAAATTTTTTCGCAAAGCACAATCAAGCTGATGCTCATTTACAAGTGAAAGTGGATAAAACATCAGAAGAAATGCTTACTATTACATAGTTTGTGAATTAATTTCACACAATTTTATCACTGTTGCTTTAATTGCAGTTGAACTCGGTTTCCATCATGGTGTCTATTCACATGATTTCTCTGGTTTATTATTAGCACAAATTGACACGACAATTCCCTCATCATTATGCAATTTGGTTGAGGTGATCGTATCAGTCATTCTGTTGTTCTATTTGATGATACTAGAACTGTGAGTATGTGAATTTGACCGTCTTCACTCATCCAATAATGTGTATCATTTGGTGGTGTTCTTATCATTGACTGTAGCTCCTGTTTGACGAAATCAGACGTTTTGTATGTTGTACATTATTTCATATATTCGGTTATACTGAAGAGCTCTGCAATGTTGTCCAATGCCATTGAATTTATTTCCACTCAGCTAATTACTCGAACATCCTTACTATTGCGTGATCGTGTTTTATAGGACATCAC